GGGCTCCTAGGGTGGACTCGGGGGGTCAGAGGGCAGGGACAGGATCGAGAACGAGTGGAAGGCTCCCCCCAATCCAGTTTTCTCTGCTCCTTTGTTAACTGGGGCAGTAAGTGGCCCCTCTCCCCCTCCCCCCAGTTCACCCTTAATCCCTCTTCTCAAGGGAAGGCACTTGGGGTGGCCCTCTCCCCTTCAGGGAGCTCCTTTCTGGGCACTACTCTGGGGCAAGGCATTATGGGAGAAATGGGGGTAGCCCAGGTGGTCTGATGCCCCACATGTTGTACAGACTGAGGCCAGTTGATCTGTTCTGTTTTATACTCCTTACAATAAAGGTTATTTTTGGATACACCTGTGAGTTCAGTCTGGCAAGACCTGGCTCGCTGGGGTTGAGAAGGGGGGCAGGAGAGGTGTGCACCAGGCCTTGGTGAATGTGTCAGATGGATAGATGCCACTTACTGGCCAGCCGGGATGTTTCTGAGGGCAGGGCCGTGGTCTTGGTCATCTGAGAGCCCCCAGTGCCCAGCATGGAGCCGGACCCATAGAGGGTGCCCAATAACTGCTTGTTGAATGAATGAGTGGACAAGAGACTGTCATCCAGATGAGCGTTCCCAGTAGGGCCTACATCTATGGAGGTAACTCCAATGGGCCGGGGCTGTGGAGATGAGTCAGACAGCATCCCCATCCTCTACAAGTCCTGCGCTGACTGGTCCTCACCAACACCCAGGTGTGTATGTCCACCACCAAGTCATGGAACGGCTCCAGTACCTACCCCCACTGTCAACCCCCCTCTCTCCTCTCCAACCCCAGATCTGCTTACCGTCCTAATCGTTCTGCCCCTTTCAGAAAGCCTTTAGGGAATCCTCCAGCACTCAGCCCTCTGAGTCTCGCTTCCCTCTCCAACCCAGTTTCAACATCCAGAGTGATCTTTTCAGCATAGAAATCTGCTCACTCCCCTGCGCCTGCCCCTACACCCAGACAGACCCTGCAGGGTCAGGTCTCCGCTCACTGCCCATGCCGGCCTTTATTTATTTATTTATTTATTTTGTCTGAAGACTAATGTTTAAGAATTTTAATAATTTTGGCTCTTTTTAAAATATATATAGTTTTAGGCAGTGAAGGGCGTCTTCACCGGCCGCACTTCCCATGCACAGGGACAGCCCGGACGGCCGTGTCCTGGGTCAGTCACCGCAGACCCTCCGAGAGAGGAAGGGAAAGGGAGAGAGAGATAGAAACATCAATGATGAGAGAGAATCTTTGACCGGCTGCCTCCTGCACACCCTGCACTGGGGATTGAGCCCCCAACCCAGGCATGTGCCCTGGCTGGAACTGAACCCGGAACTCTTCAGTCCACAGGCCAACACTCGATCCACTGAGCCAAACCAGCTAGGGCCAACTAGGTGTTATTTTTGCCAAGGAATCAAATCTAAATCTGGATCCAACAATTAGTTTGGCGGTTTTCAGCCGGTGTGCTGCAAGAATTTCTAAAGCAGGCACTGACCTCTTTTCCCTTAGATTGTTAAAAAAAAAAAAAAAAAAAGCAACAGCCAACACAACAATAACCGTCCTGTGGGAATGAATCAGAATTATACCTATTTTTTTGGTCAGGTCAGCAAAACATATATTTGTTGGTGTGCCGCAGAATTTTAGTCATTAGTTTATATGAGCCAAGTGGTGAAATAGGTTGAAAATCACTGGACTGGTTTATCGGAAATTCAGGGAACAGGAACATTTGAGATGACACATGGAGACGCGATGACCAAAATCCAGAATAGGAAACATCAGAACACACAGCCCAGTTTCTTCAACAACAAAACATATTTCAAGAAAAGATGGGGAATCTAGTTTTCAAGAAATTTAGACATACATCAACCAAATATAATGCATTGACCTTATTTGATTCAAATCCAAACTAGTTAACTGCAAAAAAAAAAAAAAAAAAAAAAAAAGAAGAAGAAGAAGAAAAACCCAACCAAAAAAAAAAACCATTTATGAGCAATTAGGGGAAATTTGAATGCTGAGATATATGGTGATATTAAGGAATTAGTTAATTTTTGAAAGTGTGATAATGGTATTGTGGTTATGCCTTTTAAAAAGTCTTTAAGAAATTCATTCTGGAGTATTTATTGGTGAAATGATATCTCTGCTTTAAAAAATATGTATGTATATATTTTTAATTGATTTCAGAGGAAGGGAGAGATAGAAACATCAATGATGAGAGATAATCATTGATCTGCTGCCTCCTGCACGCCCTCTACTGGGGATCGAGCCTGCAACCCTGGCATGTGCCCTGATCGGAATCAAAACGTGGCCTCCTAATAAAAAACACACAAAAAACCCGTGACCTCCTGGTTCAGGGGTTAATGTTCAACCACTGAGCCACACTGGCTGGGCTCAGCTTCGTTTTTAAAATAACCCAGAGGTTAGGGGAGAGGGTGTGGGTATAGTCATTGGTTGGTTATGAATTGATGTTGGATTAAAGCTGCTCAAAGGGTACACAGGGAGTCATTAAATTCTTCTCTAAGCTTGAAAGTGTGATTATTATATACGTGTTTAATGGAGCATCTCCGTACAGGAAGGAGTGTCTGGGCTGAGAAGGGCTGTCCACTACCTGCCATAATGAGGCCGCCAGTCAATCCAGGGGCTTTGAAAGATGGATTGTGGCGCCCCCAAGGAAGGGACAGATTTTATTTATTTATTTTTAAAATATATTTTATTGATTGCTTACAGAGAGGAAGGGAGAGGGATAGAGAGTTAGAAACATCGATGAGAGAGAAACATCGATCAGCTGCCTCTTGCACACCCCCTACTGGGGATTGAGCCCGAACCCCGGCCTGTGCCCTTGACCGGGATGGAACCTGGGACCCTTCAGTCCGCAGGCCGTGGCTCTATCCACTGAGCCAAACCAGCTAGGGCGGGACAGGCTTTTCTTTGCTGGGCACCTGGGCTGTTGAGCTGTAGCTGCGTTTCCATGGTGTGGGTTTATGTTGGGGTGGTTTTCAGGAGACTGAGGGAGATGGGGAGGCCAATGTCACTCTTTTAGGGCCACCACGTGGATCCTGCTAGGGTCTCCGTAATGAAGCTGCGCCCTATGACCTTGGAGTTGGAGGGGAACCTGCATGCAGGGATGGGATGGGCACCCCCACCCCCACGGAGCCACAGCCAACCGGGCATGTTCCTCTGCATCCACCTGCCTAACCTGCGCCCTGAGCGACATTTGGGATGGCAGGAGTGGGCATTACTACCAGACTATACCAGTTTTCCAAAGCATTCCACCTGTTTCCTTCCCCCCAGCCTTGGCTCACCTACACCCATCAGTCCCCACCTTTCGGTTACCTTCCCCCGAACGGAGCCACCCCGACCCACACATCTGAGGGGTGAGCTGGAGGGTGGGAGGCATGACCTGAGTCAGGTGAGCCTGGATGCACCGCGGGACCATCCCGGAGTCGCTCTGGCACCAAAGCACGTGCGGAGTGTGATCTGCACCCGCAGCTCGCCCTTCCGGCCCCCTCTCCCCCTGGAACCAGCTGTCTGCACGCTGTTGCTGCCACTCGGGGGGCACTGGGCCGCCGGGCAGGATGGGGGTGTGTGTGTGTGGAGTGCAGGCACCTTCTCAGCAGAGGCACCCCCGTCTCTGCGACTGGAAGGCCCGGCCGCTTCGCCAGGGGGCGCGC